CTCCCCAACACTGTCTAACCATCTGCATATGTGTTTGGGGAAAAAAGGCTTTCTTCCCTGTTTACCTCTTGTGGATTTGAAGCCCTTCCTGTGTTCTTCGTCAGTGTGTCTAGTTTAGTTGAGTGGATCTTGCTTTATTTTGGCTTACTGCATAATAAAAGGTCATTTCTTTCCTATTTTTTTGTTAAACACTTCCCGTTTACACTTACTACAATGATTTGACATGCTCATCTACAACTAGATACAACCTTGCAGCTCAAGATTATTAATATATAACATAATAAACAAACAACAAACTGCTGTGTAGTAGATGGCCGTTATATTAGCTTTTACTCAATACGCATATTTTGACACTAGTCAGCTGTATTTTTTTCATAAACAATGAATAAAAAAAATTACTCATAACAAAGTGTTTCTACACTGTAATTCTATTTAAAAGGAAAAAAACTGAAAGAATACAATTTATGGAAACACACTATAAAATATTATGGCTCGGCAAGTCAACTGCCCTTTCAAAATCGTCCCTGAATGGCACGCCATGAAGCCTAACCAGTGACAAGGCGGAGGAAGCTTGAGTATTCAATGTGGGACGACAATAAAATGTCATCTGCCACCCAAGACTTTCTGGATGTGTAATGCCACTGTCTGTGACTGTTTTTGAAACATCTCTGATGAGTAATCATATCACTACTGATGTGACCAGCACAACCAGAAATGTGGCAATAATATTACTTTAAAGAAGCAGCTTGTGGTACAAATGAAACCAAGTAATGCAAAAGTACTTGCCACAGCACAGCATGGTTTTTCTTTGTTTTTGCTACAAGAATTCAGAACTTCAAAATAACAACGAAAAAAAACTAAGTAAGCAAAAATACCACCAACTAAATATATTCTATAACAAAGCAACCACCTTTTGCTTTGATAACACCTTTGCACAGGCAGCGTCATAAGCAAGTCTTGAGGGAGTTTCCACATTTGCTGAGCAATAAGCACGAAGCAAAGTTTCTGCAAGGCACCATTACATAGATTGGAAGTGATGCAAACAGAGATGAATCCATGTTTCAGTGATGTTTCAACTTTGGTCATGAAAACCCATCAGCTGTGATTCTCCCATAGAGGAAGAAAAGGAATTTAATGTGTCTTCTACTTGAAGCCTGAGAAGCAATGATTCAGAATTCAATCACAAAGTTCGGCAATCCTAATGAATGTATTCTTTGATCCTATTCTCTGATGTAGATGGAAATCAGTACATAAGGCAAAAACAGAGTTTGTACAGTTATGATTTTTGAAAGAGTTTGAAAGTCAATATTTGGTATGAGCACCTTTACTCTTCAGCACTGCCATTCTCTTAGACAAGCTTTCTAGTAATTTCTTAAAGTAGTCTTCGGGAATACTTCTCCAGGCTTCTTGAAGGACAATTAAAGCTTTTCTTTGAATGCTGGCTGCTTTTTGCTCCGTTTTCTATCAAGATGATCCCACACTGCTTCAGTAATGTCGAGTTTTGGGCTCTGCCAATCCATGACATGACATGCAGAAAAATACACCTTCTGCCAAAAAGACACTTTTCAGATGGTATCAGTGGTTTAAAATCTAACCCTTCTTTCTGCTTTCCCAGCTCCATCAGTTTTGACAAGATCCCCAACACAACAGGCTGAAATGCAGCCCCACACCATGACAGAGCCTCCACCATATTTTACAGATGCTATAAACACTCATTGTTGCACCTCTCCTCACCTCCTCCATTCATACTGACAATGATTCCAACCAGAATTTTTCAATTTGGATTCATCACTCCAAAAGACCTGTTTTCAGTCACTGTCGCTGATTTTCAGTCCAGCCATTGAGTAATTTGGCATTCCTCAGTCTTTTCTCCCTGTTTCCCTTCCTCATTAATGGCTTCTTGACAGCCAATGAGACCATTTCCGATAAGGCAAACAGTAAATGGATCAACTGAAGGGCCAGAAGCATCTCTCAGGTCATGCGTCAGGTCTCTCCTAGACTGTTACCTATAACAGACGTTCCCAAAGTGTGGGGCCCGCCCCCTAGGGGGGGCGCAGAGCCATTGCAGGGGGGGCGCGGCATGAAAAGGG